AAAAGTCGAGGCTTACTTTAACCCTGGATATGGGAGAATGAAGGCACTCCAAACATGCCTTCACTTTGAGTGGCTCAATTTTTGGGGTTGGTTTCCCCAAAAGGCGGGGGTTGGATAGTTCGAGGGGTTCTCAAAAGTGTTTTGTCTCCCTTTGAGTCAGAGCAATTTGGGGATGTCTTTCTATGGACGCCTTGACACTTTTGGATCTGGCAGGCCCTGGCATACCGGCAGAGCAGTTCCCAGACTCCGGAAAGCTGCACAGCTACTCACATGCGGGACTCTGGCAGCTGGCAGGTTTTCTATTCGGTTGCCCCCAGATGGGGTCCGTTTCCAAGCAAAGCTGTTTGCTCAGTCGGGCCCCGAAAAATCCTCGAAATGACATCCCAGCCAAACAAGAAAAGAAAGAAAGAGCAACCACCTGTGTTTGTTTCGTGCCCCTAGAAACGGAATCCGCGTTTGGGAACTCAAAAGTCACCCCTTTGGGTCGACGTCCTTTCCACCTCAAGAGAGCTGGAGGTGTCCCACCTGGGCAAGGGCTCCTTCGGCGACACCTGGAAGGCCTACGACCGGCACCTGAGGAAATACGTCGCGATAAAGATTTTCTACATGAGGCCGAATCGATTCGGCAAACGGCTCGCGGTTTTCAAAAAGCCGTCCGGGTTGTGTGTGTGTGTGGCCAGGTCGGATTGAGGAAATTGCCATCTTGATCGATGAAGTTCTTTACTACACGTTGCCCTGCATTGCGACCCTAGTTTTTCCTGAACCAGACAAGTGGAAGAAATCCTGGGAGACGTCTACAGGAGCCTCATGCCGCACCGTCGCAGCATTATTGAAGATGAGCAGCGAGTGTGAAGTCTGTCTCTGAACTGCCACCTTCTCCACCGCCCCACGGCAACCCAGGCCCCTGGACCGCGCAGGTAATCAAGGAGATATCCGGTGAGTTCAAGATCTCCCCGGACTCGCTACCTGCGCAGCTCATTGTTCAGCTCGGCGTTTGCGAAGAGTGTTGGCCGTACATCCTGAAGACCAGACGGACCTACCACCGGTTTCAACCAGCCAAGAAGGACACCAGGAAGAAGTACTTCGGGATCATCTTCTCCTTCGAGCCACGCCGCCTGCTACCTGACAAGCATCGTACTCAGTCGATCTCACCGTTGAGTGCGCCCAGCAAAACGGTGAGATCGACTGAGTACGATGCTTGTCAGGTAGCAGGCGGCGTGGCTCGAAGGAGAAGATGATCCCGAAGTACTTCTTCCTGGTGTCCTTCTTGGCTGGTTGAAACCGGTGGTAGGTCCGTCTGGTCTTCAGGATGTACGGCCAACACTCTTCGCAAACGCCGAGCTGAACAATGACAGCGCAGAGCTGGGCGAGTCCGAGGGAGCGCATCTTGAACTCACGGGATATCCTCCCTCTGATTACCTCTTCTCCGGCGAGACCGCCCTTTCTCCTCCAGGGGCCTGGGTTGCCGTGGGGCGGTGGAGAAGGTGGCAGTTCAGAGACAGACTTCACACTCGCTGCTCATCTTCAATATTGCTGCGACGGTGCGGCATGAGGCTCCTGAGCCGTCCTGTCTTCTGGCGGCACACGTCTTGCTCATCTTGGAGATCTTTCGTCCCCGTCTTGTGAGCGGCCTCGTGCGGAGCGTGCAGTTTCGCGCTCTCCCCGACGCAGTGGATATTTTGGTAGACGTTAGAATTGATGAGCCAATTGCGTGATCTTCCGGCTGGAACAAAAGATTTTCGCCCCTCACTGAGGGGCGTGTGTGTGCGGAGTGGCAGAAAACCCTGCCACCATAGAACAACTTTTTCCCACTGCAGGGGGTGGCAGCAGGGCCGCGAGTCTGCCACCAATGAAGACACTCTCGTGACCCTGGTGAAGCAGTTGGAGACGTCCAGCTGTGTACCTGCAATGGTTGTGCAAAGTCTTTTTGGCCCGTTGTTTCTCTCGCTGCATGTTGAACCTTGTAACGTTTTCGACACTAGAGGGAAACCGAGTGCATTGCGAGCCGAAACTTATTCATGCAGAACCTTGTACACGAAAGATTAGAACCCTCCATCTGGAGTCTAAGTGTGTGTGTGTGTGTGTGCGGAGTGGCAGAAAACCCTGCCACCATACAATAACTGTTTCCCACTGCAGGGGGTGGCAGCAGGGCCGAGAGTCTGCCACCAACGAAGACACTCTCGTGACCCTGCTGAAGCAGTTGGAGACGTCCAGCTGTGTACCTGCAATGGTTGTGCAAAGTCTTTTTGGCCCCGTTGTTTCTCTCGCTGTGTGTGCTTCATGTTGAACCTTGTAACGTTTTCGACACTAGAGGGAAACCGAGTGCATTGCGAGCCGAAACTTATTCATGCAGAACCTTATCCAAGCCGAGACTTACCAGTTGTACTCGAAAGATTAGAACCCTCCATCTGGAGTCTAAGTGTGAACACCCCATTCGTGGGGGACCCTCGGGTGTACCCATCGTGTGACCCCGGGCCGGTACGCCGGAAAATTTGACCTCAACGTGCTTATCATAGAACAGCGGAATTTCACGTTTAAGCAGGAACGAGGTTTCACCAAAGGGAAAACAGCCACCTCTTCATAGTTAAGTTTCACAATCCTGGATGTCGCTGCTGGCAGATTCCTTTGCGCCTTGCGTTGTGATGCCGTTTCCTTTCGCAAGGAGCATGTCGGCCGACTCACATGCTTGAATTATCCGAGTTGTGTGCTGCACTTGACGTACTGCACAGTGGTCGAGCCTTGATTCATGAATATGCATGTACATGGTCTTGAGTTGTCGTTGATTGTGGTTTGTCGTTTGTATCCTTCCTCAAGGACGAGCTTTACCATTTCCGGACATGTTGCTGTTTCGTCATGTCACGCCGGGATGATCGTGACAGACCAGAACTCGGCGCAGACGGGATCGGAGTCCCTCCTCCCAGCCTTTGCAAAGCACGCAGACGTGAACACCATGACAACCTGGTCTCGGATGGCACGGATTGGAACAACTTGGTCTCCTGGCAACACAATTCGGGCTACAACACTTCCAGTGCTTTTCCGGTGCCGCCAGGCAACTATCAATCGATCCCCTCCTCTACGCAGCCATTTCATCATTCTCCGGTCAACTACATGATGCCGTTTCCTCCGGAGCCCACACCAGCTAAGTTCGTGACGCCCGTGATGCCACCACCGGTCACTTCTTCCCAAGCTACACCATCGCCTGGATACCCAGCTGCGCTGCCAGTTCGACCTCAAAAAGCGTGGCTTACTCCACCGGATGATGGAAACCTGGTGATGGCATGTTCGACACCAACCAGCTCTACTCCTTTAGCCTGCCCATGACGGTTGCCAACACCCCGCACTGGCATGGACATCCGGGATGTTCGACTGGTTCAGGTCATACACGGGGGCATTACCAACTGGCTACTGCGACCATTTGCTCACGGGAGATTCGTGACGTGGGAAGGATTTCGTACCCGCGCCGAGGCCCTGCTTTGGAGCACCTGTTCAAAACTACTGCGACGATCACAGCCGCTCAACCTGCTTACTTTGGAAAAGGACCTTGCCAATTCGCTGGGGCTCAACCTTGACAACTTCAATCAGCGCATCAAGGTTCACGACCACTTGGCCAATCTGGTGCTTCAGTTTCTTCACCAACATCACGCGACTCTTACGCCCTCTACCCAAGCAGAAGACATGCTCAAGAAGTTCAATGATCTACATCGAGCTCATGAGTTGCTCCAGGCTCAATATTCGGCATCACAACGAGCTTCGTCTTCCCCTACGTTACCATCTCAGAAAGATGATGCAGAGTTGGTTACACCACCTCCGGCCAACCACTCACAATCTTCGACGCCGACCAGCTCCCTGCCCACGGCCAGCGCGGCGGCCCTCGATGGCAAGTCGTTTGATGGTTCGGTTCAACAACAACCTCGGATCATCCAGTCTCTTCACGGACTTTCTTCCCCGCCTTCCAAGCCGGCGGCGTCACAGCTGCTCACCATGCACAGCACGCTAGAAGACATCATCAAGCACTACGCATGGACCAGTGATCAACCACGCTTGTATCTCAATCAATCACCCACTACCACTACAGTGGCGTCATTAATTAAGTGGGCCAATCACCCATCCCGTCTCAACGGCAACAAGTCCTTGGAATCTATGTCGACCCAACTCTTTCAGGCGCGTCAACGCATGCCAAAAGGAGATGCACCTACGTTTGCGGCTATGGCCGCTCTGTGGGGGCTTGAACCTGGCTACATCACCGGGTGTCACCTCAGCGTGACTGCCCGCTTACTCACCGGGTGAACAGTTTCCATTGCTTGCATATTAGCCCGGAGTGGCAGTTGCGTCATAGATGACGAACGGTTCAAAACTTGTCCGTCCTCTTCTTGCACATTGATTGTTGGGTGAGGTGCTTGTCTCTACTTGCCTTGTGAGTTGCTTGGTGCTCATTGTCTCTTGAATGCATGTCGCCGCCACCTTGTAGCTTTCCTTGGTTGCATATCCATCATGTGGACTGAACTTCGCGACAGTGGAATCTTTGACGACGTTGCACAATGGCATTCCTTGGCTACTTGTCTGAACTCGCTGACGGTGTTCTCTACGTGCTGGCAGTACTGCTTTCCTAGACTTCCACCGCCGTCGATTCCAATGGATGAGTATGAGTCGACCTCATCCTTGAAGTGCTCACCGTGGTTCGGATTGCACTTCAGATTCCGATACATTCCATGTTGCGTTCCTCTCATACTGTGGCCAACAGGTATGAGCTTCACAGATGTCGGAACACTGCCTATCTGTTGATCTGTTTTTTGCAGCGTCTCATTTCTCAAAACCATGGGTACATTCCGCCGTTCTTCGGGGTTCTTCATTTTTACAAGACGTCACTGCTGTGTGAAGTCATACACTCCACTTTTGCGGATATGAGACACCTTCGATCACTGCGGACACGCTTCCCGGACCTCTTTGACTTCATTCAGGATCCAGGTCACCATCAGCAACCATGCGTCTACCTCAGACTCTGACCATGGCATAGTCCCTACTACGTTGGAGCAACAGATCAGGATGTTCTTCGCCGAGAACATTCACGCAGCCGCAAATTTCTAGAACTACTACGGGGACATCATGCCTTCTTTGAGCCTGCGCTTCACTACTGGAAGCGATCCAACACCTACTGGCTTTTCTGTGCCATTCCGGTTGAGATTAAACTTCCACTTTCCTCGGTTTGGGTTCAGGAAAGCAAGTGGCAATACATGCTACGTCCACATCTAAACGCTCCCTGGGTGCACAGGCTTCTTCGGAAAATTGGTTTCCGTGAACGTCATTCGTTGTCATCGCCTACCTCACTCTCGCTACACAAGCGCTTTCGGCGACGACTACATCCTGATCTCCATCGGCAATTACGACCCGAGATGTTGGATGACATTCAAGCACACTACTCCACTCTTTATCAACTGGGACCCAACACAGGTGCGTCGTTTCAAGCTATGCGCGATCTGTTATCGGCGGCTTTTCCACCCACCCAGCTCTACTACTTCCTGCGACTCTCCGTCTTCGTCAACGAGCTTTTCGTTCCAAGGCGCAGAAACTCCTCGCCCAGGTTATGCGCAAACGACAACTTCAGTTACCGAGC